ATATGTATTCTAAACGGAGTAATCTTAATGAGAAAAACGAAACGAATCCCGTGCAAATATTTTTAGTATAGAACGATATTTAAAAGCCGTTATTCATTTGAAAATCAAAAAAAAAAAAAAAAATACAGTGTCACGAGTTCATGACTTACGGTCGTGATAATAATAAAAAAAAAAAGACTCGTTAAAATAAAAAATAATATTATTTTAATTGCACAATTGGTTAAATATACATTATATAATACTGAAAATGTTTGTCTTTTCAAAAGCTCCAGCTTTTGTATAGGTACCTCGACAATTAATATCAAAACCAGAAGACACGCGATAACAATAAAAATAAAATTAACGACGGAAAAAAAAAAAAATAAATACAGTGTCACGAGTTCATGACTTACGGTCGTGATAATAATAAAAAAAAAAAATCAAGTATACTTTACACCGTGGGTGGGCAACTGTTATAGGTGGGAAGTTTGTACGGTGTAGACTATAGAGAAATATTAGGTTTATGTACCGAGAGTAACGATAAATCATTGCAATCAGAAATCGATTCCGAGAAGCACTCGGTAAACTGGTAAGGTTTTAGTAGTCGTGTTATTTTTGCTTGATTGTACACGAGCGGTAATTTTTTTTTATAGCTTTTAGATTTGATTGAATTTTAGGGGGGGGGTATCATAGGGATAAGTAAAACAAATAAAATCATTATTAGTATTATACGTCTGTATGCACATTTATTATCTATCATGCATTAAACCGTAAACCATGGAAGGTCAATCTACTTTCGGGTTCAGTATAGTTTTTTGTTTTAAGGGGGGGAAGGCTGTAAAAATAATATACATATTTTTTAATATTTTTAAGAGGCTGTAGGTTATTTGGGGGACTGACTTAATGAGGTTATCTTCCTCTCAAATCTCCGTCTATAATACGTTTATATTTGTTGAGTTTAAAACATTGAGGAAATAGGGATTCTATCATTTTTGTTTTACAATGGTGTTTATTTTTCCTTTTTTTTTCTGTTAACAATAGAAACTTTACTCAGATTTTCATGTGCATGTATTTTTTCTGAAAGGAAATCTGACAAGACTGGGTGATACCCTATAAACGGGAACATTTACGACATTTATAATTTCCAAATCGTAAATATTACGGCCTTTCAAAACATGTACAACCGAACACCGCTTACCGAATCGTTTTTTATTACCAATGATTAATCGTTGCGTACAGATAGACATTTTCCCTTTATCTTTCCAACTTTTCACCTTTAACAGTGGCCCACCCTAACGTTCAAAGTGTATTAGTGTGATTTTTCTTTTTTTTCGTTTAGAATTAAACATTTGAACTCGTCTGTAATTTACTGTGGATAAAATATAATCGTAACAATCGTAAAAAAATCATTTTTAAGCATTTTATCAATTAGATATGTGCGCGAGTACTTATCGTGTTATACAAACAAAAGTGAATCTACAAGACCGTGAAAAAAAAAACATATGTATTTTGTGTATATACTCGAAAATTATAGAAGTAACAAAAAAAAAACCAAACAATTATTATAAATCATATAATTCTAACGACGTTTTTCTCTCTTGTCATCGTATTTTGTTTTTTTGTTTTACATTTAATTTTTAATTTTCGTTTTTATTTCCTTTTCTTTTATTCGGTATTCGGTTTACATGAAAAAAAAAAAAAATAAAAAATTCCAAGAACTGTATCGTTATTTCACGTTTCGAGCTTAATGTGAACGAAATGTTTTTTTTTTTTTTTTTTTAATTTACACTTCTTTTAAATCTCTTGGCAAACAAATTGCGGAGATCAAATTCGTTCTTTTTCCGTCCCCGTGGGCGTAATAATGTTTGATAATTTAATAGTGTGACGAGACCGCCGTCGCCGCCGTCGTTTTGGCGACTCGGTCCGGGCGAAATTATTATTATTATTATTATTATGGAGAGTCGTTGGAAAAGAACAAATTCAAGAAAAGTCCGCTGCGGTGAAAGGGTGCACGTTTTGGATTCGTGCCATTTCACACAGACGCCTTTGCACAGTCTTTCTCGCATAATGGCGTTTTAACGAATTAACACGGATCGCGCCTCAAAATATAATATATATAAATATATACGTCCTCCGATGCAATTTTTATGCTCCCCCAACCCTCCCACAGTAAGTGTGGTGGCTGTTTGATCAATCGAAACGATATTTTATACTGCACGATAGCGGCGGCTATCTGTATCTGAATGCCATTTGAACGCGATAGGGGCTTACCCAAGGGTTGGGATTTCGGGTCAGGATCTCCCCATAAATGTGACTCTTCTGTAAACGCGTACATAGATGTGTGACGCTCTGTGTGTGTGACTATTATGATTACCTTTTATTAGTGTTATTCACAGTAATCTAGTTGGTTATGAATTTAACTATAATTATAAGTTTTAGAAAACAAATATAATCAAAGTAATGGCACCTGGCTCATAAAAAATTCCTGGGTAAGTTTCTGGATTGCGGGGCTATTTCGTGCCGGGGGTGGTTGAGAGTGAGCAGTTGGTAATTGTTGCCAAATAAAAAGAACGACCGCATGGGAAAAATGCCCGGGAAAAAATGTTCATCTACGCCAGAGGAAATTATGTTAAGAGGGAAATATGATATAATGCGGATATGGCAGGACGAAATATTCGGACGCCGTTCCGTAATGTTTATTATTTTTATCGGAATATAAATATTTTCACAATTATTTGTGCTTCGAAGCGAATCGATTTTCCTTGTAGTTTAATCGATAACTGGGAGAACTGGCAATTTTTTTTTTATTATTAATTTCTGTGTTTATGTCTGGGCAACAATGGAAAAAAAAAACGCTTTGGTCAGAATCGATTCTCATTACCGATATGATTTGCGTATAGTTTAGTACGTAGTTATAGAAAATAAATATATCCTTCCTATTCACTTTTTTCCTGAAACAGTGGCACACCCGTCGACGGTATCGGCCTCTCTTTCAAATCGTTTCCATAAAAATAATATTTTCAAATAGAAGGAGGAGCTGATGTAAAGTATGGAAGGGCGTATGCACGGGGTTGTATGGGCTTTTGGCAACCTTATTTTTTTTTATCTTAGCCATTGTTAAATAATTGGATATATTGTTCAAACGTAATTAAGACAAAGTTTTGATCAATAAACCGTCTTCGTGATATTATACCGTTTGCGTAATTATTGCGCTTTTGGTTTCGATTGAAAATAATTAATCAAAAATGATAACAACAATGACCAACACATATATTCACTTTCGGTCTATTTGATCTCCGTTTGCGATCTTGTGCGTACATTTTGCGCATTAAGTATATGGTAAAGGTCTTCAACGAAAATGTCGGGGCAATAAGACCGGAAAACCGAAGGAAAAAAAACTCCGTTCATCAGAAGCGTATTAATTTAAAACGCCTCATATTTTTCCATTGTTTTTTTTTTTCGTTGTTGGGGAAAAAATCGTATTTTCACGGTATTTACAGGTTACAATATACCATAATAATTACTCACAGCAGAGTTTCACGGCGAAAAATGAGTAGGCGCGGGCACCGGGGACAGTCCGTGGAAATGATGTCGCTGCTCACCTGGAAAAAGAAAAAAAGAAAAACTAAATGATTTGATTTATCTAAAACGACACAATGGCTTTTGGATTAAACGACGGATTTTAAGTTCGGAAAGTATTTACATCGTTTTGTACAAGAACAGTCCTTACGAGTTATGGTCTCGTGTTGATTGGGAAGGAAAACGGCTTTGTTTTTTTTTTTTTTTTAATTTTCTCAAAATGGAACTGAATAAACCAAATAAAATACGATGAGCGATTACGATATTTCGGGTCGAAACGAGACGTAATATAATTTATTGTACAGGCGATAATAATATTATGTTATACACAAAAACAGACGTGCACACGATATTTTCGCCCGCGATCGAGTCGAAGTCGGCGCAATCGGTCCGCGTATCGTCGTACGCGCGTGCGGTTACGTAAAAAAAAAAAAAACAATAATTGTGCTATTTCGACGTGAAAAAAAAAAACACGTCAAAATTATTAATATTCGCAGTGTATTATTACGATTGTATACGCGAGACGACGGTTTTACTAATAACAATACACGTACAATGGAGCGTGCAACGAGCAGCGGCGGATATATCCTAGTTCTTAGCCGGGGGGGGAGGGGATGGGGCGATGATGTTTTTCGACGTGTTGTGATTGTCCTATTTGTACGCTTTCGGCCGAACCCTTAATAGACGATGTTTTACGTTTCGACACATTACAACAATGTTTATTAGGATGCTATACACCCGGCCGCCGATCTGCCGAAAATCTCGGGTAACGCGTCGACGGACCGGGGCGCGAAGATTAGGGCCGAGAGGGAAGTATAGAATATATAAACATTCATAAAAAAATACGGATATTATACTTCGCACGACGGGCGAGCCACTAGCTGTGGAAGACGTGAGAAGTTGAGAAGGCGGGATAGAGAAGGGAACCGGAATTATGTTTGTACGCAACGCCGTTAACGAAAAACAATTCGGAACGCAGTTTCTATCGCAGGCGCGTACGTAAATTTCCCGGCATTCCCGGTGTTTTTCCCCAATTGTCAAGAAAACCGCTTGGAAAATCGAAAACCGCACCTATCTAACGTACCGATATTCGATAAGATTTAAACTAGAACTCCTACAGTAGCTCCAAGTAAAACCGATAAGAGCTCCTCGATACGCTCCGAATTTACAAAAAAAAAAAAAAAAAATCGCGTAACTTCACATAACATTGTAACAACGTCGGATTACCCGTATGACATAACATAGGTAATAATAACTCGCGCGTTTTGCTTTCGACGCGAGTCCCCCGAACCGTTTCCCCCGTTTTTCACTCCGGGAGGGGGGAGGGGGTTTGGGAGTGGGTGGTAGGGTGATTCCGCGGAGCCGCAACCGGTACGCGCTCCAACGGCCCCACTCCACAGCGCGGCTTTTCCGCGCGCGGGGGGAAAAACCGACGGTGTACCGTCTGCGACCGTCGTACGCGTTTCCCGTTCAGTTTCGCCGGGTATATGCGGTATAACGTCGGTTACCGCTGACATGGTTGTTCACATTACGGTGGAAGACGCCATCGAATACCGTAACAATAACAATAACATTGATACCGTCTTCGTCCGCCCGAACTGCAGCCGTTGTTGCCGTTGTTGTTACCTAGGCCATCGTTCGTCGTGAATACCGGCACAACCAATGGGCTTCAAGTATATTTACCCGGTACGTGTTTCCTTTTTTTTTTTTTTTTTTTCCGCGTCTCTAAACGGCTCTTCCGCCTTCGGTTTTGGTTTTTCAACCGAAACCGTTTTTTTTTAGTGCAGCGTCTTTTCCGAAAAGAAATGTCGTCGGCGCGTCGCGGAGCGGTTTTCGCGACGTTTCCGAATGACCGGTACGATACGTTTGGGAAAACCGGCCGCACATTGACGTTTTCATTATTTTCGATTTCATTGCGATTTGGCTGAAAACGGTACTTGACATTTATTTTGTGCACGACGCTACTAACGGCCTTTTCCAGACGCGTCCGAATTTAAAATCATTTATAAGTCTTCTGTGTTTTTTTTTTTTTTTTATGCAAACTGTACGTTTTCGGTTTTAATGTGGATACAATATTGTTTTGGTCGATCACAGATTCTTGACGGTTTATATCATACAAGTTATGCGCAATAGTCAAAACAATACAAATTCGAGCGTAAAGTAGTATTTTTTAAGCTTTTTTTCTCGAGTTTAAACTTTACCAAAAATCGTTAAAATCACGGGATTTAAAACATCTTAAAACACGTTTGAATTTTAAAAAATCGGAAAAAATTTAGAAAACCGTTTCCCCTCCTCGTTATAATAACTTTCCAAACGGAAATTTCAAGAGAGACATTTTAAAGGTGGAAAATTATATTTTTAGTTTTTACGTGATGGGTACAATTGTTTTAGCTCCGAAAAAAATAATAATTCGCCAGAGGTTATACTTAGTGGTGGAATAAAAAAAGTCGGGTGTATTTTTTCAATTTTTTGATTTATAAACGTTTAAAGTTGAAATTTCGCATTTTTTCCCATCGATATCCGAGCGTTCCCGATGCAGACGTGAAAAAAATAATACCGCGAACAATTTCCGGGTTGTAAAATTATATTTTATCTTTTTCGCACCGACATCGCCGAGAATTGTTATATTGCGCGGAATTTTTTTTCTTTTCGGATGGATAAACCGGAAAAAGGTTCAGTAGAAAAAAAATTGCGTAATATTTTGTAATATTATTTTGGCAGACTATTGTGCGCTTCCGCCGAAATGCAATACTCGGGGTTGGTGTTTTATTTTTATTTTCGCGCGACGGGAAAATCGAAAATAGATAGAAAATACGCTCGGTATCGACGATGACGACGGGGAAGAAAACCAAAGGACAAAAAAAAAAAAAAAATAATAAAAAATCTCCCACGGTTAAGTTAAAACTATTCCCCGACGACGCGACGTTCTTAACAATGGGCAAGCCGTCGTCCACGATCGTCTCGGGAGCGGGTTTTCGTTTTTACGTCCCGTCCGAACAATATGCGGAAATCCGTCGCGTTCTCTCGTCTTTTTGCGTTTGGCGCCCTATCGTTTTTGACGTTTTTCGAAAAGCGCGAGTCGTCCGAATCGTCCGGCACAAGTTTCCACGATGTTTCCGGCGTTTTTTCTTCGGCGATCGATTTCCAAGGCCGGCGACGGTACCCGACGGGAGCGCATTCGTTTCGTCCGCGACCACGCGCGAGCCCTTCGCGGGTAAAACAGATTTCGATTGTCGAAAAACTTGCGTGATATATCCGCCGGTGTCCACGGTGGATTCCCGGGGATGTTGTACTCAAACGTGTGAAGAATACAGCTGGGAGTCGCCGAGGAATATTTCCGAGGACCCGACGAACAAGACGGCTCGCCGCCGTTTACGGGGGGCAGATTTTAGCGAGACATAACACGTCTGACCCCCCCCCCACTGACCTATTTTTTTTTATCCTCTAATTTTTATAAGACCGTCGAACAGACAAATTGCTCGCGAAAATAAACGAATTATTAAAAATTGATCGCGTTTTTGATTAGCCTCGGTACATATTACGCATTATACGCTATAAAATATTACGACGCAATTTGCGCGTTCAATATATTATCTCCCTCCAAGGTAAAATTTTAAACGCGCCATAAACACAATATAAAGTACGCATACAACAAGTGTTTAGTAGAAAATATAAAAAAAAAAACAAAAAAAAACTCTGAGGAAAATCGTCTCAATCGTGTTATACGTTCTGTTAGGTGCCGCCGGATAGTGTAAAAAAAAAAAAAAACCCACCCAAAACGCCTATTTACCCACCAAACGTCGCGTTTCCCGACATTTGGACCGCAAGATAACCGCCGGCCACTGCTCGAGAAGTCGCGATACCGCGCGCGCGCTGTCACGACGCCGTACAGAAATACATTTTAAAATAACCGAATAAAGATAAACGGCCGGTGATTTCATGATATCTTGACAAAAGAAAACGATAACATTTGTTTTATTGTACATTTCGTGAAATTTATGCGTGTCAGAAGCAGTAAAAGACGTGCATCGGTTTCGGTGTGACGCTCGTGTATTGTACGCGTTATACTACACAATACACTACGGTAATCGTAATTTTCACACATTTGTTTTACGCACTCATCACGGATGTACAAACAATTTTTTTCCATTTTTTTTTTTTAAACATACAATAATATTGTGTTTTACAGCTGTGCATCGTTTGTTTCACGGTGCTGTGCGTCAGATGCGATCCGCCGCGCTCGTCGTCCGCATCGTTCGAAGCGGAAACGGTTCCCGAGTCGTACGAGGAAACGAAAAGATCGCTCTACGACGACGATACCGCGTTGGAGGCGACGCAACTCGGCGACGACGACGGTGATGGTACCGCGGAAGACCGTCGTCGGCAGCACCATCACCACCTCAAGCGGTTCATGGTGACCGTGAACGGCGTGCCGGACGGCGAGACGTCCGGCACGAACAGGCCGTACTTTATGCACCAACAACAGTACCCGCAGCAACGTCTTCACCCCCAGCCGCAGTCCCAGCAGCAGCAACAGCTACAGCCGCAGATGCAACAGTCGTCTCCGATACAGCACTCGCATCACTATCACGAGCAGAGTCTCAGTTTCGACCATCCGTCGGCGGTGGGCGGCACCGCCGGCGGCGGCGGCGTCAGCGGCTACAACGAACAGTCGGACGGTTTCTACCAGTCCGGCGGTGACGGCGGCGGCCGGGGCGGCGAAACCATAAGCCTCGACTCGACCGGGTTCACCGACTTCGTACCGTCCGTCGGGTTCCGTTCGGCCGGCGGCGGCCAACCGGTCATGCCGCCCATGCCGTCGTCCCCATCGTCGCCGTTCAACGCGCCGATTCACAACCAGCTCCCGACGTACGACGGCGGTTCGAGCGGCCAATTGTCGTTCGACTCGACCGGTTTCGGCCACGAATCGCCTTCTTCGGCCGGTTACAATATCGGCGGCGGCTCGGGGTACTCTTCGGGCGGCGGCGGCGGCGGCGGAGGAGGTTATGATTACTCGGCGCCCCAGTCCCATCAGGCTCCGATCATACACAAGTCCATTTACGTGCACGTGGCGCCGCCCGACGACGAACCGCCCCGCAAGCAGCGGGTCATCATGCCCAACGTGCCGCCCAAGAAGAACTATCAGATAGTGTTCATCAAAGCGCCGACCGCGCCGCCGCCCACCGCTCCGATCATACCGCCGCCGCCCCAACACTCGGACAAGACGCTCATCTACGTGCTGCACCCCAAACCGGAAGAGGCGCCGCCCATACACATACCTCCGCCGCCGGTCACGCAGCCGCTTAAGCCCGAGGTGTACTTTATCAAGTACAAGAACCGCGACGACTCGCACGGCGGCGGCGGCGGCGGCGGCGGCGGTGATTACGGCGGCGGCGGCGGCCATCACGGTGGCGCGGGCGGCGTGTTACCGTCGCCGGGTGAAGAATTCGGCGGCGGCGGCGGCGGCGGCGGATACGGGGGCGTCAGCGATAATTCCGGTTATCCGCATAGGCGTTATGGCCGCGGCGACCAAACGCCGGTACCGCCGACGGGGTCGTCGTCCGAGACGTCGCTTTCGTCGTCGGGCGACGGCGGCACGGCCACCACGGCCGCCGGCGCCGCAGACGAGGACGAAGACGGAGCCGTGGCGCCGGAACAACGGGAACTGATCGAAGCGACGGTCGCGGCCACCGCCGAGGCGGCGGCCGGCCCGACCGCGGCCGAGACGGTCGACGAGCTGCAGGGCCGGGGCGGCTACAGCACCGAGTACAACGACGCGTCCGTCGACAGCACCAACCTGAGCGAGACGCACGTGCTGTCCACTACGGCGCCCAAAGGGAAAAACGGCCACTGATCGCCGCAACCGCGCCACCGCGAACGCATCGAGTGCTGTGACATTAATATCGCGCGTCGTCCATATGCACGTGTATTAATGTATTATTATTAGTAATATTATTATTATTATTATTATTATTGTTGTTGTTGTCGTCAATGTATTATGGATACATAATGTGTACAATAAACTAGATCGTTAACTGGTGACGAGACGCGTGTTTTCGATCCGACGTTCAGGCGCCGGAGCGTTTTACCCGCGCACTTTGTTACGCTGCGATAGGCGACGGTTATTGTTGCGCGGACGACTCGTGTTCACAGCCAATCGTGACGTGACCGCGCGACATTATCGACCGGAATCGAACGGGTGCCGCGCGCCACCGACCGAGTACACAACCGTTAAGCGTTGCGCGCGCGATTCCATTACCGATCCAGTATTATCGTGTTGTGTATTCGCGACTGTTATGCGCTGTTCCGTAGGCGTTTCCGTGCGGAAATCTATGTGTAGTTTTCGATCGCGCACAAACACGATAAACGAACGGTTACCGTTGTGTTACCGCGCGACCGATACGATACCGCGGTAGATTTGTTGTCGCTCGGCGTTTGAATTTTCCGCGCTCGCCACTGTTTTCCGCGAACGAATCGGTTTCACGAGTTCTTAGCGGTCGGTACGGTTACGGGCGCGACGCTCTTACGGACAAACCGCATAATACGCGCGGGGTGGGGGGGAAGAGCGTTTCGGACGTCGCTCGTCCTCCGGGTTTCCCGCGAGTTCCGCCGGATTCAGGCGGTTCTTGGGAACGCGCTATTCGATTTTCGGTGCGCACCGTGTCCTCGGGCCGTTATGTTTACCGAAAATCGAAGAGCGCGTTCCCGAGTTCGACCACGAGATTTAGAGGACGTTAAAGCTATAGCGCCGGGAGCGAAATGTCACCAAAGGCGCAATTTTCCGGTTAAGTGTACACTGTAACACCTGGCCCGGTCCAACCCGAGCTAGCGCGTTATGACAGTTCATAATGTTTGGACAACAATCATAACCGACACTATTGTTATGTCGGTCCGTGAAAAAACGAGCCCTCTCACCAACTCTGAAAATTAAATTTTACGGCATTTTTAAAAAATTATCAAACATTCCGGTGGGCAATTCCACTTTCAACCAAGGTATACGCGGTAGGAGGCGCTACACATTTAACTCACCGGATGAATTTAAAAGTGTATTTACGTTCGCTTAAATTGCGGTACGATAAACCGAGTAGGATTTGATCACGTCGATATTCTACCATCACCACAAAGAATCAAACAATACACGTGGTGTATGAAATAATAAATAAAATAATTCGATCAATTGAAGAAATGGGAAACATACGGCTTTCTTAATGCATTGCATGAGGCGAAAGACAAAACGTTTAAATATTTCATTGAAATTCACTGAGATACGTAAGCGTGTATGATTCCAATATTATTCCAAGTGGGGATTTTTTCGAAGTTAACGATGCAGTAATTGCAGTCACAGACGAAGACAATCCAAGAGTGGTGTATTTTCAATTGTAAGATTGGGCGTAAACTGGGGGGGGGGGAGAGCAATAAGGGGAAACTGCCCTCCCCGCTAAATTTTAACGGGGCAATGCTCCCCCTTGACGTGTCCACGGTTTCCCATCAAAAGAGTGCGTCATGATCCGACGAAAATCAAAAACGATAATATTAGATTATAACATTATCATTTATTGACCAACCAGGTGGACACTTTGCCGTAACTTCTACCTGACCGAGTGTCGCTTCTATATTGTTGATAACACGGTCGTAATTCACACGTTGCTAACTATTTTTAGAACAGCGAAAACGGATGAAGAATCTCTTTCAAATTTACTTAAACATTTGTTGCTCACGTTAGGTATACAAATTGAAAATATTAGAGGTCAACGCTACGACGGTGCCGCCTCGATACGCGGTTCATATTCAGGGGTCGCTGCATTCGTTAAAGGTGAAAACAAACTAGTTCTATATGTACAGTGCTATACTAACGTGCTAAATTTGCGTGTAGTTGATGTCAGGAGGAATGTCGTATCAATTCGTAATATATTTTGTATTCCAAATAAGATTTATACATTCATAGGAGCTTTAAAAAGACATTAAGTATTTTGAAATATACAGAAGGAATGCAAATTATCCACCAGTGCTTTAAAATCACTTAGTGACACTAGGCGGAGTTGTCGAATCGAAGCTATCCGGTCTGTAATAAAAAATTGTAATTCTATTGTTTCGACTTTAGAAAAAAATGATGAAACAAACTCATGAACCTGATGCCACATCAATATTAGTGAATATTCAAAACTTTGATTTTTTTTTTTCGTTTAAAGTTAATGAAGTTAATTTTTGAATTGACCGACAGTTTACAAATAATTGTAAACCAGTTTAATGCGGACTCAATAGAAAGAGGAAGAAGAATACAATTAACATAAATATTTAGTTTTGATTTAATAATTGACTCGTTATGTAATTCGAACACCATTGTTAATTATTAATCAAATGTAAAACATTTTCTAAAGTTTTTAAGTTTACTGACATGAAATAAACTTTGCCGCCCCTTCATACAGATTGCCCAAGTCGCTAAAATCTAATATTTCACCGGTTTGGTTTTCGTTAGTGACGGTTTTTTTTTTTTTTTCATTTTGTTCAGATATTCGTCGGTGGTGTTTATAGCGATATATTTTCTCAAGCCGGTAAGCGAAACGTATTTGAGGGTCCGGATAGCCCGACAATATTGAGTGTTTATATTTTGAAGTGAAAAATGACTAATGTACTTATTGTATTAAAAACAAAAATTAAACCCCACCCCCCTCCCACATACAACCGTGGTACCGTTCTCAGTAACGGACACTGTATACCCTCTCCTCTCGCCCTTCGAAGTTTTTTCCCATTTTAACCAATGAGTACGGAAGTGTACGAGCACTGGAGTATGAAATATATAGATTTTCGTAACTAGTGGACAAAGCGTATAATATTATAGTGCTTATTTCGTTATATGCGTCGACGAATAAAATACCGACCGTGCAACGTAGTTTTAGATTTTTTTTTTTTTTTTATTACGTTTTTATTTTTTTCAGTCGTCGGATGGGTATACGACGACGGCGGTATCGTTTGATTGAACTGGGTCGTTTAGATTCGGATTGCCTAAGATCTATCGTTTAGTTCCGTATATACGAGTACAGTACTGCAGTATACAAACAATACAGAAGAAGATTCTATATCCCATTCGCTCATTCGTCGTACCGCGGGCATTTGTAAAAAACAAAACAAAAAAAAAAAAAAAAAAAAAAAAAAGAATAAAACATTACTTTAGTAAATACAAATTTAAAAAATATAAAGTTTTTACGGCCTTACGCGCGCGTAAAATACTTTGGAAAAAAAAATAGTCAATACTAAAATTTAAAAACAAAAAAAAAACTCAGTAACTCCCGCAATAAATTTACCCGAACGAAACGCTGTCGTTAATCAGAATTATGATAATAATAATAATAATAATAATAATATATTATAGCGATATATGCAAATCGAATATTGTCTAGTCGTAAACTCGTTATTGCAATAAAAACGTATCGATAAATGAAAATGATAAAAAAAAGAGCCGATACTGCTGCCGGAAAGTTGGGAAGGTGGGATGTACAAGGCCATTATTAGTTTGTATACCGTATATATACGATAAATCATTATAAACGAAAAAAAAACGATTCTGAGCGTAATAGTATTCTTCGTGTTTTAACATAGGTAATAACAATGTTATACCCACATATGTTGTTTTAGGCCTGCCGATGGATTAAATTTTTATTCCTCCGACTTTGACTCTGATTCTGATTCAGACCGAAATCGATTGACGTTATCATGACGACAAAAAACGAACATCACGCTGGATTCCGCGTTTTATCTCTTATCAATGTCAACATAACGTATAGCAAAACCGCTATCATCTCCTCCACTCCCGCCGTTTGACTTCTTTACATTAAACGGCCACAAAAAAAGAAACGCATGCAAATATAGGTCGCAACTAACAGACACCCCCTCCTCTCCCCCCAAAAATATACGTAAGATTCAATGTTTTTCGTGTAGCGGAAAAAATACTAGAGCTTCCTATTTCACGTGTTACGTGTGATTATCATTAAAATCAATGTATACCGTGTACCTGTTTAAAAAAAAAATTTAAAAAAAAAAAAAAAAAATGTGTAGTTGTTCACGTTTATACGTTATTTTTCGCATGAATAACTATAAAATACGTGAACACGGATAGTAAATTCACGTGTATTAAGCATAATACGTGAGTACAAATTATTCATTCAAGTGTACACGGATTCCGCGTTCACGTAATACGTATTAATTCACGTTTTTAATCGAGACCTCTAGTGTATACCAAGTAGCGTGCTAAATACGATTTTTTGGTTTTATTTTTTTTTTTTCTACAGAAAACTAACAGCACAAAGCAGTCCTAACAGAAAGTACAGTGCGTGGAATTAATTATGAATAATGTTTGGTTTCGTGTGCCCCGCTAATAGACTCGCTGTCGTAACACGACGACAATAGTATTGTAATTAAGTAGCTGGTGTACCGACCTATACGTGTACGTCGAGGTCGAATCGATTGTCGAATAAAATGTTTATTTTTATCGTTCCCAATGAGATTGATCGTATCGTTAAGTATTCGCTACGGATTCGATTTAAATGGAACGTATAAAATCGGGTCGTTCGTATCGCGTGCTTGGCCGACTCAAAATCCGCCGTCTGATTATTTTAATGATTCGACTTTCGTCGTTAGTGGCTAGAATTTCGAGGGGGGGGGGGAGAGGGAAAAGGGATGTTGTAAAACTGTGTCGCCCAAATTATTCGGCCTACTGGTCGCAGTCACCGAACACGGCTTTTATTCTGAATATAGGTATATATAGGTATATATGTATATAAAGGAAAGACATTTCTTCCAATAAAATGAAAAATTATGTGCTCTAGCAAAATATGGTCGGTGATTAAAAGAAAAAAAAAAACGAAAATAGTTTTTGTCTAATCCGAAAGAACGGAAAGTTTTTTTTAAACTACGATAAATTATATTTTGATCGCAGACTTGTATTATTTTAAATTTTTTTTTTTTTTTTAACAAACTTTATGCCATAAACGAAAACGTATATTTTTT